ATAACCGACCATAGAATAGCCCCAATTAGTGTAACCATTTTGATACTTTCCAAGTAACGTATAATGCATATTCATCCACTCACGTTGAATGTCGTCGTCATAGTCCGCCATCTTCTTCTCGATATCTTCGGAGGACTCGGTGAGCATCATCTCGTCAATCTTACTCTCGATACCAAACTGAGCCTTCCTAACATCATTGACCATATACATATACTTCAAATCCATCACATTAGCAACAGTCTCAGCAGCCCACCAAAGGGAACTGTCATTCACCTCCCCTTGCCAGGAGTATTCGAGACAAGGAATAGACCTCACACTCTGGTTGGGCTTAACGATAATCGGCACGAAAACACTTCCATGAGGGGACGACGGCGCAAAGTAAACCACGTTGTACTTGTTCTTATAAGTGACAGCTATGAAGCCATAGTATGAGTGCTCCTCAGAGATAGCCCTTTCCCAAGCACCGTGTTTGAAGGTCGCCTCAGCCCTGCCACCAGGATATCTCACTGGCGTCTTGAAGGGACCACCAGCAACAACATGGTCTGTCAAGTCATAGGGAGTACCCTCCATATGGTCTCGGTACAAGCGACGCATGAAGTCAATAGTGATAGGCTCATCGGGCTTCACAGAGAAGGGGTAGGTAGGATGTTCCCATTCAACACCGAGAGTAGGGTCCAGATTAAGAGATGGGGCGAAAAGAGAAAGACCCCTCCAAATACGTCGACCGGAAACATAAGGATGACCCTGCTCACCCGCGCCGAAGGCATAAGCGAAATCGAGCAGACCAGCACCATCCCACCAGCCGTATCTTAGTGCGATTTCATACATGTTGGTCGAGTATAAGAAATTGTCGCCATCGACAGGATCGATCTCACGAATGATGAAAGTGTTCGGCACGATGGTGGCGTGACCCTTAGGAACTCTCTGGGCTGCCCAAACCGCACTCGTAGTTGTATCGTCAGGAGTTACATGGAAAACCCAAACCTCTTCACCATCAGCCACCACCAGAGCCTCACCAGAGCCGTAGTAACCATATTTCTCAGCGTAGTCACCCATAGTCTGCACGGCACACCTTGCAGTGTCACAAAGCTCAAGTCCAATATCAGATAGCTCGCCAATCCAAAACATTGCACCTTTACCCTCGGGACCGTCACCACGTGGGAAAGACTCCATACGGGCACTGCAAGTACTCTCGCCCATGGAGACGCCAGCCTCGTTCATGATACCATAAGAGGAGTCCCAGTACCCGTAAGTGGTACCCTCCGGCATGTCGACGTACCCGGTGGGAACACTCGTTTGCTGGTCACCAACAGGAGCATAACTGGGGGCTCTCGACGCGTCAACAATCCTGGGATATGCCAAGGCAAAAGCACCAGGGATCTCGTTGATGTAGACCGCTCTCTGCTGACCGGCACCATAGGTCTTAGGAGGCACATAGACCACTCTGAAGTCCAACGGTCCGCCATCAGCCGTGCTAGCGGCGATACAACCACCGTCAGCCGTCGCTGCACAATCGACTGCTGTTGCTGTACATTGACCGTCGGTGGCGAAGTGCTGCCGAGCTCCACTCTGAGGAGCGATTTCAGCGGCCGAAGCGAGACTGCTGGAAGCTAGCAAGGCGAGTGAAAGCGATAGCATTGTGAGGGATGAAAAAAACTAGGTATGATTATCGACCAAAGTGTAAACTAGTCAAAAGCGAGCCGATTGTTCAATATGCAATTGATGGGAAAGTCGATACAATTCTCAGCTTGCTGACGCTGGGCTAAGGACTCTGCGTCCAAGCGAGACTAGCTCTGTCCCCAAGTGAATAACTCAAGAAAACCCATATCACAGGCATTGTCCCTGACTATGAAAATGTCCTGAAATCGCGAACTTCTCATAGAGGGAATCGCCACGAATGCGATACCGCCTGCCATATTCGCAATGGTTCTAACTCGCGACTGTGCAGCCACCGGCTATTGCTGAGGCACTTGCTGTCGTTTGCGGAGTGTTATCCTTGAGAGCGGACCCAAACGGCCGAATTGTGGCTGCTGCAAACTATCGAGGCGAGTGATAGCAACAGACTTGTGCGGAGCAGCTGTTCGTTTGGAACTGAGTACATTCTCTGGTGGTTGCCCTGGAGGGCTATTCACACTGAGACGTCTTTTGAAGACAATAAACAACGGTTCAGCTACAGCAAGTACATATGCCTGATACGCCGAGCAACTATGGCAATGCGCAATACTTTCAGATGGCGATCGAAACATGATGCAACACTGTGAAACATGAATGTTCACAAGTCCGTGTGTGCACTCACTGGCCTCCGAACCAGAGAGGTCCCACTCATCCTGTTGCCCTCGTTCATCACCTAACACGGGCGCCGATGTTCACAAGGTTGTTCACAGCCAAATTGTTTATACCAAGCGTTGGCCTGCACTCCTCGGTCTGAGCCTCTTCTGGTGCGTACGAGAGCTCTGGAAGCAGGGATCTCCAGGCGACGCGTGCAACACAGGACGGTAGAATTTGGACAATTGAGCGTCAGACTCCGTGGCCGCTAAGGGCCGGATGTATCTGCTCATTATTCCATACCATAATTAGAGTACGCGTACGAGAATTCATTGTGTCCCCCTGAGGGCTTGAATTGACCACCGTTGAACTTGATCGTGCTCGGATCGGCATAAAGCCCTTGATCGGACACACAGGCCGGGGCCCAGGCTGAATCAGGCAGGCATGCTCCGCGTTGGACAAGACATCTTTACCGGGCACTCGGAATACATAGTGGGGTTGCCTTGCAGATGTGAATTTCTCACAGACAGATCTCTCCTTAAATGTGCGAGGAACGGCGTCGGCCGCCTTCCAGCCAGGCTTGGGTTTCTGTGCAGTGCGTTCGCGTGCCTGAACATTCTATCTGCCAGAAATGAGCGTTCACTAACCGCACCTCTCGCAACTCGAGTTTCTTTCTATCATCTCTGGCAAAACTGACTGCCGAATTAGGTCTGGTCAGGCGACCGATATCGGGACGGTGAAGTTTACTGTATCCAAACGATGGTACGGGGGATATTCCGTGAAGGCGCATCGACACTAGAGGAGAGCGTGATGCCCAGTGTTCGAGGAATATATGTTCGCTTTCCTCAGCTGAGCTCAGAAGTTTCCTATACAGTGTTGGAGTAGGAATATATGTTCGCTTTCCTCAGCTGAGCTCAGGAGTTTCCTATACAGTGTTAGAGGAATATATGTTCGCTTTCCTCAGCTGAGCTCAGGAGTTTCCTTGCTAATTGCAGGAGTCTATTTACAAATTCAGGTAGAAGTGTACTGAGGTTGATAAGGACCACTCGGAGTTTCCTCAGAATTTTCGTATTGTCACCAACACATGTAGTTGACCATGTGCATATTTTCCCACAGTGTTGATGCCAATTTTCTTCAAGAGTGACAATTTTCAGAGATTTTCTACTGCCGAGAAAGGCCACAATGGTGAATTTAATAAAAGAAGAAAGTATGGTATCGCAAGGTAAACTTTCGTAGGTAGAACAACTGACCCGCCTCGTTCAAAATCCGTGGCGGTATAGTGTCTTTCAGCCACACGTGGTTAGCAGATGTCCTTCTGTTGCGATCGACACAGTGACGGTTGGGGACGTTTTCGGAGTGCGAAGGTTGACTGATGTCCGCTTGTGGAGTACCTCCAGAGTGAGTGAATGCGGATTCCAAAGTACCGCTCTCGCTTCTAATATGATCATTCGAATCGCCGCTTACCAGGGTGCTTCACTTTGTCGTTCGAAAGATCCCTAATTTCCGGTATAGTCTGAGAGTAAAGCTGTCGCTTCCTTAGCAGTCATTCATAAGAGCCGACCTTGATCGTGAACGAAAGAGACATTGTGTCGTGGCCGCCAAATTGCGCCGATAATCGATCCAATTTACGAACGAGCTCGTCCAAATCGATCACCTGATCGATTTGTCCTTAAGCGATGGCTGCTCGATCATTCAGAGTTTGGGCTGAGGTTAAACGTCATGGTTAACGGCGGCAATCGTTGATGACTCTTCGCAGTGTTGCGCTCGTACGGATATGTTCCTGCTAGAAGCGTATCAATCGGAGAGAAAACTCATGAAGAGCTCGTTATGTCTGGCCGAGAGTCTCTTCAGTGTCTTCTCGGTCCTCTTGAGTTCTAATACCTCACTGTCTAGGAAGTCGATGATGATTTTCAAAAATTTAGACAAGCATATGCCTGATATGTTTTTTTGATGAATTCTTTGATACGTCTGAGAACATCTGCGTATTCACCCATATTACCGATTTCCTAGGCGTCACGTGCCTTAGAGATTAAATGGCCTTGGGTGTAGATTAACGAGAGACCATAAGCTCGTGGTCGGCCTATTGGTGTTGATTGCGTTTCGCAGGTCTCCAACAGACCTCGAATGAAACTCCGATGATGACTTTACGGAAATCCAACACTGAATTCTCGTGTTGAGTAAATCCAACGAGCTTTTTAACCCTGAGGAAAAAGACGATTCCTTCGAAGATCGTATTTTTTTGAGATTCCAACAACATTTAGTGAGCATCATAGTAGACTTCATGCGTTCGCGATTCTCTCGTGGTAGCACCTGGTCGATCTCAACCTCTGCGTTTCAGTGTGGTAAAATTTGCACATGATCAACCACAAGTGTTGGTGAGTCATTAATAGTGATAATAGCAGACCTCTAAGGGAATTTGAAAACTTCGGGAAATTTCAGTGAGTTTCTTTTCACTCCTCGTATATATTCTCTCGGCTCATATATGAACTCCTATGATTATTGAGAAAACTATCGAACTCAGCTGAGAAAAGCGAGTACATATTTTGCAGCACTGTTCCACTCAGCTGTTGGTAGTTGCAAGACTCGTGGCAAACTTACGTGGTCTTAGCACTTTGGAGACGACACCAATACGAGTGTTACGTTTCATATACATACGAGTCGAACTGGATGGGCTGAGGTTGATCGATTTCATGAGAATAGCTACACTATCTGTGAGTAAAGAAGGAGGTGCATAGTCGTGGCGAAGACTAATATATAGTCACTGAGGACTTCCCACACTCACAATGCACCTTAGAACTTCGTAGTGTTTTACGATGAT